AGAATATAGAATCATTGAACTTCCTAAAAGTATCTTAAATTCCCTCATACTTCCCCATCTCCTCTTAAATTAATTTTAAAAAATTCTTGGTTTATTTTTATTTTTGTGAGCTTTCCAAGCATTCTTTGCAACAAATTATACTAGACTATCATACAGACTATGGAAACATTTTAAAATATACATCTGTCTTAATTTGCTTTTTTGTTATAATTTAAGAAAGAACATGTAGGTAAAAATGACTCCTCTATTATTTAGAAGTGATGAAAAAAGTTGTATAGAATTAAAGAGAAATTCAGTTTCTAAAGTTAAAATCTGCCTCCTTTATATGTTTGGGGTATTTACAGGTCTAAACTTACCTGTAGCACAAATAGTATTAATCACATTAACTAAGCATCAATGTTATAAAGTGAAAATAAGTAACAGTTAGTTGGAATAATGTTTTCTGTCCTTAGTTAAAATAACACTGACATTTATTCTTATTATAGTTATTCTTTTTCTGATTCATCTTGTATCATTCATACAGACTTTTAATTATTTATATGAAGGTTGCTATCAAACATGAAGAAATCCAGAATATTTTCAGATTACAAAGGAAAGAAGCACAGATTTTTTTAACCTTCATATATATTATCCTACTTACTCATCACAGAAACCTAAAGCCTGAGAGTTATTTTATTTCTCAATATATGAGGCTTCTGATAGATGAGTAGTTTGTTGAAGGTAACAACTCAAAGTTAGAATGACAAGGTTAAATTCATGTCTGTGTATGCTAAGACTACCTTCATTGTTCTCTTATTTCTATACATAAGTAACCTCCATTGTCATAATTGTCTGACAAGATAGTACGTTGTAACAACCCTTTCATTCTCCAGTTCTAATTTTCTGAAATTTTGAGCCAAGATTTTAGAGTAAGTGATGGAAGAAAGAACCAAAGAGTTCCCAAAACTGTGCAATGACATCATGATGCAACTTCTAGTTTATAATCTAAATCCATTGTAGAAGAGAAGAATAATTAAAGAGAATGATTGATTCCATCAACATATTAATTATCTACTGTGGTAGACATTTTTTTAAGACACTAGGGATACATTGGTAATCAGAGGCAGTAAAACAACTTGTTTTCTTAGAGGGTATGTCTAGTGGACAATAAATAAGAAGTATCAACAAAATATATAATCTAGGCAAGTGCTAAGGAGAAAAAAACAGTTCAGGAATAATAGAGAATCAGAATGGGGAGAGATGTTTACAATTTTAGGTAGAGTGAATCAGGAAAACCCTCTGTGAGAAGGTGACCCGACCTTTGAAGGAAGGACTGAAGATAGTAGGTAAGCCATGCAGATATCTTTCAGAAAAGTATTCGAGGCCAAGGGCACTCAAGTACAAAAACTCTGAGGTTAGAATGTGCTTGACATATTCAAAGAACAGAGCAGGCCAATGAGGGTGAAATGAACTGAATAAAGGGGGAAATAGACAATGATACACAGGGATACATATCTTATAGTTCTTTTCTGACCTCTATAAAGACTTTTTTTTTACTTTTATTGAGGTGGATGGAAGACACTGGATGCTTTCATCAATGAGTCATATTATATGACATACACTTTAAAAACTGTTCTAATGAATGTAGAAGGGGGATATGAGGGTCAAAGTAGAAAGATCAGTTAGGAAGCTACTAAAAAAATCAGGTGGCTCAAACTAGTTTGGTACAATTGAGATGATGAAAGGCTGCCAGAATCAGAAGGCAGGACCTACAAGGTTTGCTGATGGGTTGATAATAGTGTGTGAAAGAAGGGAATCACTATGACTCCTAAGTTTTTGGCCAGAACACCTCAAAGAATGAAGTTGCTATTTACTGAAATAGAGAAAACAGAGGGAAGAGCAGATTTGGGAGGGTGGGGAGTGGAGAAATAGGGTAAGATGAAGGGCTCAGTCTTGGACCTATAATCTTTGATACCTTTTTAAACAGTCAAAATTAAATGAATGCTAAAGCCATACTGACATAAGAAGGATCAGCTCTTTTTAAGTGATTTGTTCTGAGATTATTATAATCATTCAAAAACAAATATTTATTAAAAATTTTATATGTCAAACTCAGTACTAAGTCATGGATATATTAACAAGGTATAAGATTTAAAAGTTCTCAAGGCACATAATGGTATAAAATTCTTGTATCAGGTGATTGAGTTACATGGGACTCAGCAATGCAGAACTTTGGAAGCAGGAGTGCTTGGTCCATGAGCACATCGTTAAAACTATACTTAGGTGTTTTATTCAGTTGGCCATCCTCTTGAAGGGGGTTTGGCTGTTTACATGGCTTGATTCCCCTGGAAGTTCTAGGGTGGCAGAGGCAGAAGATTATAAAGAAGGCTGTACTAATAGCTCTTACTGGTATTTCATCTCCATTGTCCTTATCCCTTCATGTTACTGATAAAATTCTAGTTGTGGGCTGTATCCAACGAGTGCTGCTGTCACAGTGCAGCAGACACGACATGTTGGTGTTTTCGGAGCTACACAGTAGTGTCTAAAAGGTGAACTAATCACCAGACTTTTTGTTTTCTTTGAGTGCTGTGTACTTTTTGTGCTGGTGTTTCAACATCTGGCATTCTCCTCTTAATAACTCTGCATGGGGTTTTTGAAGGACCTGTGAAGGTACCAAATAAAGTAAATACATTTTTAATAAGGCGACTACCCAGAGAAGTACAGGATTTTTTGCTTCTATTTTTTTTCTCTTTCCTTTTAGTATTTTAGGTCTTTAGGATACATTTGAGAATGTATTATGCCTGTGATTTTTCCCATTACGGAAGACTGCTGTGCTGAAGGTTGGTGCTTGATACTCAATCACAGCATCTTTCCTTTGAGTCAAAGCAGAGAGCAAATAGCCCTCTGTTCGGGGAACCAGGTAGCACTAACCACTCTCCGCTCTCAAATAGTAGAAGTAATTTAAGCTATCAGAGACCCAACACTACTTTAGTGGTTTCCCCTGGAGAACAAAGCTGTTAAAGCAAAATTTTGTGTGGTTTTCTTTCATGATTTCGGCTCCTTCTGAGAAATATATCTAGAGTTATGCAGGAATATTTCAAAACTGTTTCATTGACAGTGTTCTAGCAGAGTTTTTTTTTAATCAAATAACAACTGTGAAGTCATATCTGGCAATATGAGAAGTGCTATGATTCAAGTTACAGCGTGGTACCTCAGTTGTAAGAAGAATTTTCACATGCAGAATACTCTTTATATGTGGTTTGTATAAAATGTAAAAGTGTGATGTTTGAATAAAAATAAATAAAAATGAAAAGCCTGGATATTTATGTATATTTAGGGAAAGTTGGCATTGTAGAAAACAACTAAATATAGTAATTCTCATCCTAAATTAAAAATCAGTGTTTATGATTTACATAGTTAAAAAGGCATCAACTAGAAACACATCTTTTGACTTTCTACTGAAAAATTGCCCATGCGTATGTTATACTTTTAGTATTTAGGCACATATCCATAAAAATCAATGCCATTGATTTATGTCTTTTAATAATTTTACATAGATAGTATTATGTTGTACACATCTTTTTTTATTAAAAATATAAAATATTAGGCCCTGACCCATGTGGCTCAGTTGGTTGGGTGGTATGTCACAAAGCAGAAGGTTGCTGGTTCAGTTGTCAGGGCACATCCCTGGGAAGCACCTTCTCCTGTCGGGGTGTGTACAAGAGGCACCAATTGATGTTTCTCACATCAATGTTTTCCTCATTCTCTTTATATTTCCCTTTCTCTAAAAATAAATAGATCAAATCTTTTTGAAAAATTAGACTTTTGAGAAGTATCCATGTGTCCCACTATAGATATGCAGAATACTGATTTTCTACTACTCTTTGGAACAAATTAATCATTATTAGTTTATTCATTCCCTTAGTAATGGAAGTTAGGTGTTTAGTTGTTTCCAAGAAACCTAGAAAGAAAAGAGGAATGGACAGTTACAGGTGATTTCTCAACTCTGCTCCAACATCTTGGTGCACTGTACATTCTGAATCTTCACGGAAGTGGTTTTGAGTGGAGGCACATATCTGTGGGGCAGAAATCGAGGTCTGAATCTTAGACCCAGGACAAAAACGATAGTGCACAGACCAAGGAAGATGGCAGGCATGGAGCTCACATGACTACTTTGACAGGAAAAAAAGCACACAGTTTCATTCGGAACTTTTCTTGAGCTTTTTCTTAGCTCTATATGCTGTTATCAGATATAGTAATTCTAAAGACTTATTTTGAATCCATGTATAACAGGATTTATTCATGCAAAATACTTCACAGTTCAAACTTCCTGATCTCCACTCAATATGAATGTAAATCCAGGTATATCCTCATTCTTTTAGATCTTCCACTAAATAAATGGTATGAATATGTGGCTATCTGTTAGAATTATCATTCTTTTAGATCTTCCACTAAATAAATGGTATGAATATGTGGCTATCTGTTAGAATTAACTGGTCTCTTTACAAAAATATACTTTTATAACTCCACCTTGGAAACTCTGACAAAGTATTTACAGGGCAAAAGAATTATATTTTTATAAAAATCTCCCAATCATTCAAAAATCTTTCCCACAGCTGAAGCTATGCTAAGTGTATAGCTTAATTTTAAATGGAGTATTTCCATAATAGTACTTGTCAAAAAAATTGACTAGAAGTGATATGGCTTAAAAAATTTTTTTTGAAATCATTATCCAGATTTCAGTGGATTTGCTTCAGCTATTTATATTCTGCAAATGTATGTAGCTACTCAAGGTGCAAACACTATTGACATCCTGAGTATCAAATGGGTGTAATCCCTCAGAGAAAGGATAAAATATTTTACCTATGGACTGGAAAACCCAAGTAATTATCTTATTAATTGTGTATGTAGAGAATATTTAGTACATTATTAAAATTGTACTTCATGAATCCAGGCCCTTGTAACTCTTTATAATTGGTTATGCACACTTGCAATTTATGGCTTTCCTGTTGTGTTTCCAGCACAGTGATGCAGTCCATGACCTCCTTCTGGATGTGATCACGTGGGTTGGAATTTTGCTGTCCCTTGTTTGTCTCCTGATTTGCATCTTCACATTTTGCTTTTTCCGTGGGCTCCAAAGTGACCGTAACACCATCCATAAGAACCTCTGCATCAGCCTCTTTGTAGCAGAACTGCTTTTCCTCATTGGGATCAACCGAACTGACCAACCAGTAAGCAACTTACATTGATATGAGCAAAGAATTTCTCCACCCCCAGCTGTGCAGTACTGGCAGTACTCAAGTTTGAAAACACCCTCTCTCCCAGTTATGCAGGACCGATACTAACTTTCAAATCTTACTCAGTCTCCCCCATCGTGCTCCGTTGTCATAAAGCAGCAGCAAATGTTTTGGATGTGTTGGATGTACATTTCCTCAGAAATGTGTTTATAAATACTTTTAAAGAATTGTGCAACTTTATCAGATTTTTTTATTCTTTAAAAAAAAACACCATAGCCCTGGCTGGTGTGGCTCAGTGGATTGAGCTTGGGCCTGTGAACCAAGAGATCGAGGTTCAATTCCCCATCAAGGCACATGCCTGGGTTGCAGGCCAGTTCCCAGCAGGGGACACATGAGAGGCAACCATACATTGACATTTCTTTCCCTCTCTCCTTCCCTTCCCCTCTAAAGATAAATAAATAAAATCTTTAAAAAAAAACTTACAGAGCTGAATATTAAGAAAGTTAAATAAAATATTTTGGGGAATGGAGTAGTATCTTTTCTAATATATATAATTGTTATTTTTGAAGTTTATAATACGCTTTGTTTAAAAACTGTGAATATGATATTAAAATTGTATGCCTAAATAACTTTTCTAATTGACATGTTTTGGAAAACAGATCAAACTGCAGGTAAATTTTTCAATATATAACTCTTCCAGATTTTGTTTGGTAATTTATATTCGAGTTCTGCTCACATCTTTAAGTGCCAACTTCATACTTTAATATTATTGCTACCTTCATTTAATCACATTAAGAAAGATACAAAGCGAAGGAGAGAGGTGAAGGGAGAGAGAGAGAGAGAAAAGTAACAGTACTGGCTAACTGTTCTTAGTAAAATGATGCCATAAATGTAAATAATAGATAATATATTATACAGACCATGCCCAGTTATAATTTTGTGAAGCCCTTCATATTTATTTAAGATTCAAGCACATAGTAAAGTTTGTTCTCATGTCTAAAATTGCAAATGAAAACTTTCGTTTTTAAAAGTCTTGTAGGCATAATGAATAATTCATTCACTTAATGCTATTTTCTAGTATGTGTCCTTATGTATAGAGTACTTTACAATAAACATGCAGTTGCATTTGTGTTTGTGATTACACATTCATGATTAATGGCTGTAAAGGCTACAATTATGCTGATTATGCTTTTAATTGGTTATCATATACAAATGTGACAGACAGCTTTTCCCATAAACACATACACATGAATACGCAATGTACACATTTCTTTTGCCCCACAAGTAAAACCTTCTGATAAAAATTGGTAGTTTAAATTCTAACTAAAAAACAAGAAATGGAAAACTGTTTTATGTTTCAGAAAGAAATCATTTTATTTTCTTTTTAATTAGCAATGCAAACGGCATGTTCTTTCTTTTCATTTAGCAACCTTACTCTCATTTTTGTTTCCTGGTGTTACACACCCACGTGTTGCGTACTTTACAAAACTAATTCTGACAAGAGTATAAATGACAATGTTTGATATGAAAACCTTGGGTAGAGTGCGGCCAACCCAACTTGTCTTTAGTCTCGCCGTTGGACAGGTGTCCTTTTCTGCATCACATGGTGCACAGGCTCTGCTTTCTCTCTAGCCCTCTGACCTTGGACTTCCTCCCCTACCCTCACCATCATCTCTCAAAACCAAAAAAATTGACCTCTTTTATCTCATTTCTCAAGGATCACAGGGTCATTGAAAATCCATACTAAGCTGATAAGTCCTATAAATTTGTCTCCCCTTTCCAGGAGGAGCTATAGATTTTAGTTAAGACTTTTTATAAGAAATGAAGATGCCCCCAAAGGAGTAAGCATTTTAGGAACTAACATGAGAAAATTAATATATGGTCAGCTGGAACTTGTAGTACATTATAAAATATGCCAAACAAAATAGTTCACACTGTTTTAAACTATTGGCTGCATTTTCTGACCAAGCTTGTCTAGAACAATATTTAGCACAATAACAAAAAATTGAAAGAGAAAGCACATCTGGAACACTGTATTTTAATCAGACCTAATTTTATGCCTATGTAGCGTGAACTTTCCAATGCTACCTTATATTCTTTCTGGAATAAGGCAGGGCAGAAATAAATTAGAATTAGGAATGAGGGATCAACAATCTATTATAAAATACTGTAATTATTTCATTTTAAGAACTTTTCTTTTAGTATTTCTCTTTTATTTACTAATAATTAATATATTAACACGTGATATGATCAAGAAAAAAAATTCCCAAGATCTATTTGTAAAATCTTTAGACTAATCCCATCAATAAATGTCAGCAGGCTCTTCAACCTTTTTCCAAATGCTATGTTATCCTCCACCAGCCATTATTAATACAATGTTCAATATTATTAATACAATGTTCAATATAATTTTCAAAGACAGGTTTTATTTAAATAAGTTTTAGCATCTGAATTTTAAGAATCTCATGCAGATTATTCTTTTGCAGACCTATATTTTTACTGAAGTCTCGATAAATATTTATTTTCATTTTATGGTAGTTGATGCTATTTCATGGAGGAATTGTTCGACTAAATCGTCTGCCCCTCCCCCTAGATTGCCTGCGCGGTCTTTGCTGCCCTCCTGCATTTCTTCTTCCTGGCCGCCTTCACCTGGATGTTCCTGGAGGGTGTGCAGCTCTACATCATGCTGGTGGAGGTCTTTGAGAGTGAACATTCACGCAGGAAATACTTCTACCTGGTCGGCTACGGGATGCCGGCGCTCATTGTGGCGGTGTCTGCTGCCGTAGACTATAGGAGCTATGGAACAGATAAAGTGTGAGTTGATAGTCTCTTTTTTTCCCCCTCACTTTTAAATCTACTGGAAATAAAAGCTTAGAATTTCCCTGATAGCTAAGGTCTTTTTATCACTTCACAGCAATTAATGAAGGAACTGGAGAACCAAATGGGGTAACTCAGTTCATGGTTGTACTTTTTGTTATGACACAAAAAGAAAAGAGAAATACTGAGACTCAGTCTGATGCTGTTTTCAAGCAGCACACTTTTTCATTATCTTAATTATAACCCTGAGTAATTAGGGAGAGATGATTATTTTAATATTTTTCAGGGTATTGAGGCATGTGGTGAATGGGAATTAAAACTGTTTCGGAGGACAGTGCTGTCCGGACACTAACAGCTTCTCTTCTTCCAGAGGTGTCAGTTCTAGTCCCTGGCGAGCTCATTAGTCATTAACAGGGAGAAAGGAGCATGGGGAATTTGTGTGTTTCCTTTCCTTTCCCCAGGTGGGTATTGGGGTATAGTGATACATTTCCTTGTCAGTGTAACTTTATATAGGTGAGAGGCATATCTGGTGCTGTCTAGCATACTTTTAAGGAGCTCCATGAAAACTAGTTCTGTAATCCACTTCAGTATAATATTGGGCATCCTGAGAATGAATAAAAAATTCAACAGGACAAGATTAGAAAGGTGACCAAGATAGATCTCTGCTGAAGAGCCGCAGTTAGGACATAGATTGAAGATTGAAAATTGAAAATAAAAATAGGAAGGAGAACAGGTGAACAGAGCCTTAGGAAGAACACTGCCAGATTGGGGTCAGTGAGAAGAAAGTTTCAAGATGGTGTTTGAAAACCACAGTGTTTTCTGTCAAAGTTAACTCCAATAAGGTAAGCATTGAGGGAAAATCGTTTGACCTTTGCAACAACTATTTTGATAAAATGCTAGAAGCAAAGGCCAAATTAGAATGTGTGAAAGGAGATAAGTCACTAAAAAGTAGTGTTCAAGTATAATCTATACCTTGAGGAAGTTTGATTGAGAGATAGTGAAAATATTAACTCAAGATAAGAGAAGGATTAAGAAAAAAATGGAGCTCTGAGCTTATCTAGTCTGCAAAGCATCAAGCTGATAGGAGGAGAATCCTACAGAGAAAAATGACTCATTTGTTTTATATATATATATATATATATATATATATATATATATATATATATATTTCTAGAAGGGTAGAAAGGCCTAAGATTGGATGTAAGATGAGAAAAACCTTGATTTACTATTGAAATGTCTTTACTATGCACCGACTCCAGATGTATTCATTGCCTTGCCTATGACTATAGAGCTAAATAGTGGCAGATGCGTGACGAAACCAGCCATGTTTGTTTCTACCACACTGTGATGTTTCTGAGATGGTAAAATACCCCCTCTCTCCTGAGGTGAGTGTGGAGAGAACACACAAGGTGGGGCAGAAGTAAGTTTACAGTGGTGAGTCCATGAAACAATTTATTTTTGCACTATTATTTCTTAATTATAATATTATTTTCTACACAAAGAACTGTAAACCCACTTTGCCCCACCCTGTAAGGTAAATTTTGAGGTGGAAGAGCTTTTCCATCAAGGAGGAAATGCTGACTTCTGCTGAGTTGTCAGGTGAGGTCATTTTGACAGCACAGGAGATTTGAAAGCTTTGAAATGAGCACTACAGAAAATGTGTTAAGGAGCTCATTAGACATTAAGAAAAAGATGCCCAAGCAATAGTGAAGGCTCAGGTGAGGTTAGGTAATATCCATTTTTCTTGGAGTTAATAGGCCAAATTTCATGAGTTTTCCACCATCAGTCAGCAGCCTGAATATGCTGGTGATGAAGCCGCTCACTTCCTGCAAGAAATGATTCTCGAGGAGGACACAATAAGAAGAGGACTCCAAAATTATTGCGGGGATAGTTCAAATAGAATATATGCTGGTGCAGGGAGACAAGTATATGATTCAAAGGCTATTTCGCTTCTTTTGAATATTCTTCTTGAGTACAGTGACAGGTTGCAGAAAGCCCTTTGTCTAAATGTAACTAATAGTCATTACTCTGAAATCTAACATTGTGAATTGTGGTTTATTTTGTGGATTCCACTGACAACTGTGGAACAGATTGGGAATACATAAAAAATTATCTAGCGTTGCCTCTTCAAACATTTTAAGGAAGAGGTATTAGATAGATCATAGGATTTTTACAAATAACATCTTTGTTGATATAATTTACATACTATAAAATTCACTCTTCAATCATTTTTAGAACATTCACTGTATTAGGCACCCATCACTTTGATCTAATTTTAGAACATTTTCATCACCCCCAAAAAGAAACCCGTGAGAAATAACTCTCTTCAGATCATAGGATTTTATGTTTTAATTAAAGCATTTCCTCTTTAAGATATTAAATGGAATGTCATACTTATGTGTGAACTTATTCTACTTTAAATACTGTGTTTAGTAGTTTGGTTTTGCTCTTTTGCAGCTCATTTGTTTTTATTTATAATTCATGTTGATTTTTGTTCTCTTTGGATATTTGCAAATTTTCCTCTTAGGGAATCGACTCAAGTTTTTTCCTTTGTGTTTTAGTCATTTATTTTGAGACACATGTCATTTTCTGGGTAGTAAGAATCTATCTTTTCTTAGAATCAATAACGTGCAGTCCCTTGTGACTTTGTTAAAGCTTTGGCCATCATTGCTTTAATTTCCTGCACCATAACTGGAAACTCTCATTTACTGACATTATTACTTTGTGGGAACAGAGGCTAATTTATTTCCCAGGCACTGATTTAAAAAAAAAAAAGCTTTAATAATAGTTCAGTTTCACAATCACAGTTTTTCCGCCTCAAAGAGAAATAAAACAGATAAAGACAAAAGGGATGGTAGAGAAAAGGAAAGGATAGGGGTAATTGCATTAAAATTCTATCACAGCCCTGGCTGGGTATTTCAATGGTTAGAATGTCATCCCAATATGTACAGGTTCAATCCTCAGTCAGGGCACGTACAAGAATCAACCTATGAATGCATAACTAAGTGGAACGACAAATCTATGTTTCTCTCTCTCTGTTTCTAAAATTAATGCATTTTAAAAAGTATTTTAAAATGCTATTACAGACAAGCATAGAACATTTAATGTCTCGTTTATATGTTTTAAATAAAATTTCCACATATGGGCCATTAGAATACATAGAAAAAAATGTTTTTCTACTCTATGAGACTTCATTCAATCCAATAGCTACACACTGCCGTTTGCCCATTGATAAAGCAGGTATTGAAAAAAGAAAACTCATGCCGCCATTTTTATTTACTTGAGGAGCTAAAATGAGAAGCTCATGCTCCATCAGCAGTTTAATCAAGATATCTTCCCAAAGAAAAATGTAAACAATGAATTTTTACACAACTGGAAGGATGGCTGCATGTATATCTTGTTCCTTATTCTCAAAATCCTTTCCTGTTCCTCTTCTGTTTATTTCAAATGGCATTTCCCCTTCCTGCTCATTCATCACCACATGACTTTTAAAATGTAATTCTACTATCTCAAGACTTTTGTTTTTTTTGCCCATGTTCTCATGTGCTATTAAAAATTCTCATGAATTTTTAATGCAAATATGTAAACATCACAGTCTTAAATTAACTAGACCTAGCAAGAATTTGGACACATATGATCAGCCATTTTCTGTAAATTCTTCTTAAGATCAATGATTTGTATGCCCTGGGAGTATCTTTCATTTATTTTTGGAACCTCATCATTATTAAAGGTTTACTCCTTAGTCTGAAACACGTAGAATGCATACAGAATAAAGCCATTCAATGTATAGTACCGTAATCCAAATAATAGATATGGCTCCCCTTTTTCTCCTCTGAAGTTATGTGGCTGTATTTTATTGTAGTGACAGTGAGGTTTTATCTCTGAAACCTTTAATCATAGAAATAGCTTACATTTCTAGTAGCAAATTATATCAATGGTAAGAGAAAAAATTGTTTTGGTAGGTTAAATAAATATTTTTTGGTACAGATAGTGGTAACTATCATATTCCATGTGACTGATGGATTGGGATTTGTTTTACTATGAAATGTTATTAGGGATGTTAAATTGATTATTATGTACAAAACACACACACACACACACAAAAGCATACTTAATGTGATTTTGAGCAGTGGCTCAGTTTGCCATCAATTTGCAATGCTTGTAAGAGAGGCCTGCTATTATTTTCTGATGTTACTTAATAATTTTTTTATCTGTACTGACATTGTTACTGAGAATGTACTTAACACTTAGTCACAATAATCAAACATATACAAAATTCGAGTAAAGACCAGTGGAGTCATTTGAAAAATACTAACACCCAGTAAGTAGACCACAGGTCTAAATTTCAGTGTTAACAATTGGCATTTATTCCATTTTATCTATTTGTGTATCTCCCCTTAGTTTCATTTACATCATTATAGATGGCCATTTAGTGAGGCCACCTAATATGGTACTGTCAGAAGATAAAGGCAGGCATTGACTTTCCAATGATTCAGACAGGACAGATTTGGAAATACAGATTCAGAGCTAAATGCTTTGATATCATGACCTGAAACTAATCTTTTCGTTTAAACTTTGATTACCTTGGTATTACCACAAAATGCAAACAGTCTGCACAGCTGATATTTTTCCAAGAAAAAGTCACATTTATAGCTTATAGCACTTGCCTTGTAATGTTAAAACATAACTGAAAGAGCAGTAATTCGTGTGATGGGTAGGTTGGAAAAGGATTGGAAGTTGATTTCTAGAGGAGGGAGCATGTTAGGAAGGAGCAAAGCCCAGAGATTAGCCAAAGAGTTCAAGTGTGTAGGCTTGGAAATTGGGAAGGGGTTTCTGGAAGATGTTGATTGGGTTATGAACATTTATAATGGATCAGAACATCCTTTAGTACTAAAAGCATAGCCAAGCTCTTAAAAATAATTGAAGTCACATTTTATGATCTGAAAATTTGTATAAGTCATCTATTAAGTCAGATTTGTCTCCCAGCTCACTAGATT